TATATATATATATATATACATACACTGACAGGCTAGCATGTATTTGAAATACTTTTAAAAATATAGTTTTTGTAACAGTTTTGTAACTTTGTATTCTGTATTTTAGCGGAGAGCTAATAAAAGTATTTTGTATTTTGTATTTATATAAAATAAAACAAATAAGTCCTTTGTAATTCAAATAATAACATTAATTGTCAATCTTAGTATTTAAAAATACAAAATACAAAATATTTTCAATCTTTCGTTAATATTGAAATACAAAATATACTTTTATATGCTGCTATGAAACACAAAATATTTACATTTGCTGCGTTGAAATGTATAATACAAAATACAATTGTCTTATACTTAATACTGTTTTTCAAATAAAAATATTTTAAATACATACAGCCTTGTGTGTGTGTGTGTGTGTGTGTGTGTGTGTGTGTGTGTGTGTGTATATATATATATAAAATATACCTACCCACACACACACACACACACAGCTGTATGTTACTCTTAATAATATAAAAAAATAACAATCTATAAAATAAAAACTATATCATATTTTTCTCACAAGTAATTTGGAACATTTCATATGTACATTTTAATGAGGTATGCTTAACATTAAATGAGACATCGTTAAAGTAACAAAAAAATATCAAAATGCGATTTATATAAAAATATATAATAATGTAACACAGCATTTCATACGTACTATTGTACGTTATACGCGAGGTTGTGTCTCAGACTTATTAGTTTCCACTGCGCAAGTTATCTTACATCTATAATTGGAAGATTAGATTCTCCTTATAAGAATATAGCAATTGGATAAGAATTTAAATTTAGATTTTCTACAAAAACACTCTGCTATTAATGTAATATTGTAAAAAATATATTGGCATAATACTGTTAGAAGACAGTAGCAATGAATCAGGAGTAGCGTTGCCATGAGAATTATCTTTAAATTAGGCCGTTCAGAAGCAACATAGACTGAAAGTTGCATATATCTGAGGAAAATTCCACATATATGGAAAAAGTAATATTACGTTTCTCCTAAGAGACGTAACAATAAGATTAAAGAGATAATGCTAATATTCTTATAAGAAAAAAATATACTTTCGCAATAGATATATGTACAGTAAAATAAGTATACATGTTCCTCATGGGAATTAGTTCAATGTTAGATTACATATTATATAATTAGGAAGCAGAATATAAACTAAAAATTTATCAAATATTGGCATATGCTCTTCGTAGGAGAAACGTTGTGTTGGAATGGTATTATGCCAAGCCTGGTCCTAGAAAGAATGATGACTCTGTTACTTGCCAATTCAGAATTCATCAATATATGTATTTAATTTTATTTAAAAATTTATCTAATGTTCGTGATTTTTATCGCACAAAAGTATTTGTGAACGTTAACTATTTTAGAAAAATGCTTCTATAAAGATAAATGTCGCTGTCTCTTACACAAACTATAATTCATTGAAATCTATCGATTTATATTTGTTCCATCATAATGAAAATATTAAAAGTTAGTTTATTTAACATGGAAATTTAAGAAAAATGTGTGATAACTCAATATTAATACACGAAAATTTAAGAAAGAAGACGTACTTCCATAGATTTGACGGCGATACCAGGGACAGCAGTTGCAGCAGAAGCAAGATATGCAGCATACTAATAGAAAAATAATTCCAATCGCTGCTATTGTTAAAGGAAGAATCAAACTAAGTCTGTAAAACAATAATATCCTTATTAAAGAAATATCATGTATTATCTTTAGTTATGTAAATTGCTATCCTAAGTAATTCTATTATTTACCATGTTATTTTACACTTACAAATTATGTAAAAGATTGCGCATCATGTAGAATTAACGTATTACATATTATTTACTTAAACTGTATGTTACAAACGATTATAATGTTTTACCCAGTTGTCTGTATAAAATCCCACAAAGGACAGCAATAAGAATTTTTATTCTTTACATCGACGCAGCAATAACTGTCGCTCTTTGAGTTAACTATTCTTGGGCATGTAGTAATCCAGCGGTCGAAAAAATTCCTTTCAAAAATTTCAAAGTTACAATTCAAAAGTCCTAAAAAGAATAAACAAAAATATTTCGTAACATGCATTAAAAATTTTTTAAGTACTAACAGTTAAAAAAAATTAAAGATTAAATTAATAACGAAATTAATAAATGTTATTCTCCAACATATACACACATTCAAAATGTATATTTCTCTCTGAATTTCAATTCAATACTACCTTAATCTTATCTTAATAGTAATAAATGATTATTCCCTATTTACAAACTATAGGAATATTTGGCTTCAAGAACTGGTCAAAGAATTTTTGAACTCGCTAGCGTATCAGCTAGGAAATGTACGGCAGCAATTTATAGTTTATATTTGTATGTAAATACTAAACTATGTGAGGAAGATTAGAGATCTACGATGACGCATTGTATCTTTAAAAAAGGACTTTTAAAAAACCTTGTCAAGTTTCGTTCGTCGATTCAAGAAGTTAAAAATCTTTTTCAATAATTTCTTCTATTTGTTCATTATTTTTCTAAATTTTTTAAATCATTTTTTTTTCTTTGACAATAAATTTTTTATCTCCAAATGGTACGAAGCGAAAAATGGTTAAAGTTAATAAAATAATCCAAATTAAAATATACAGTGTCCCAAAATAATCGCCAAATATTTCATGGGCAAGTAGAGCGGATTAAACTTTTCTGAGTCGAAAAGTCTTCTAACATTTTGCAATTTTCGCAATTTTAACAAAGTTAACAAGATATTAATTACTAAAAATTGCCGAAAATTAGTCTTCAACAATTTTTTACTCAAATACTATCAACTTTACAGAAAAACTGCAAGAGACAAAAATTGTTTATTTTCTTCTTATAGAACTGTAAGAATTTTTTCAAAACTTTTTCAGAATTTTTTAATACCGCATTTTCTCATGTTGGTACAAATAAGAAAATGCAATACTAAAAAGTTGATAAAAAATTCTGAAAAAATTTTTTTTCCATACAAATATTTTTAATAAAAAAGACGCGACTGGAATAGAATTCGTGGTATCACATTATAATTATTGAATTCCGAATTATTGAATTTATATTAAACGTAATCGATCGCTGTGCGTGCACGCACTTATACGCGAAAAATATGCGAGCGTAAAAAAAAATCAAAGAAATCTCTGTAAACCATAATCAACGCGCATTGATCTTAATCAATTACTGCTAATACTCAATTATAAACTATAGTTTATAGCACTTATTACAAGAGAGAAATAGATTGATTGAAGTACTGTATCGATTACAGTAATCTCGATGTTATCAAAATACACATAATACACACACAATGTCCTCAATGATACGTTTGAACGTTGTATCAAACAGATCATAAACAGTCAGACAATAGATTGATTTTCACAAGAAATTGAGATCGATAATTGACAAAATTAAATACTACAACAATTAAAAATGCATTTTATATTTTTAACTAACAGGAGTCTGTGGTAGGAAACATTTACCCTCTATATAAATAAATTTTTCGTTTATCTTATCTCACTTCCTTGAAACCGTCTAAAGAGTGATTATTTCTATTTATAGTACATCATGGCATTCATAATATTACATACATAAAGTGACACTTTTTTGAAATAAAGGAAAATTACGACAGATCGCATTAAAAATATATGAAAAATATGAATAAAAATTAAAAATGAAATATGGTATATCATATAATATAAATAAAAAATCAAAATTAATATAAGAAGCTTTTGAACTTGGCAGAATGTGTTTTCGTGCTAATAAATAACTAACGAAAAATTTAAACTCGTATTTTGTTTATCCACAGAGATCCTAACAAATTTAATTCCAAGTTAATAAGCCGACGTTTGAAAATTTTATCAATTTCTTCTTCATCTTAACACAGCGATAACTGTAGCGTCTTGCTAAGCGCATTTGCGAGAGATCCGATTTCACGAGATTCACAGAAATGAATACGATACGCAACTTATCTCAAATTAATATAATATATGTATATTAATAGTACTTTATGTTTTATTAATGTATTGAAATTAGCGAATAATATTAAATATATAAAAACACAATTTATCTAATTTAACAGATTATAAAATTGTGCCTAAAGAACGAAGTGCTATAAATTCAGTATGAAGTTTTTTTCTCTCTAACGTCCGAGCATTCGGATAAATGATTTCAGTCACATTTCAATTAATTTAATCGATAATTAATTTACCAAATAATGTATCTGTATTATCTTATTATCATGGATAAAATTATATTATTTTTAATCAGTTTAATAGAGAAAAAATTAAGAATAACGAATTACATGACCTTAAAAATTTTGCGAAATATTTTCCCGACTGAGCAGTTTGATCGAAGTTGCCTTGTGATAGACTAGCGATCAAGAGAAAAAAACTTTCGCTTACATGATAAAAAACAAACTTTTTAAGCTTCAGCTTCAACGAAAAACTTATGACTCCATTACGAAATAATTTGAGTTCCATCAAGAAACTATGTAAAGAAATCATGTATCGTGTTTCTTAATACGTTAAAAAAACAAGATAAAAAGTAAGTAACTATCGATTATCTAGGTATGATAAAAACGTAATATACAATCACACACACAAAAGAGTGCATCATTAATCATACCCTCATAAACGTACGTCTTATATATAATATGATAAGTGCCTAAAAAAATCCGCTTGGATTGATGCATTAACGATCCTATATGTGTACATACATGTATGTACACACGTTCCTCCAATAAAATCGCGTTTGACTATTTTGTTGAACAACCTCATTTTCTTACCATAAACGTATCCCGTGTGAAGACAAATCAGCAGCAACGTTACCTCGAGACGTGACATTTTGATGCTGTTCCTCTCAATGGAACTTCACTATTTGTAGACGCCGCTCGGTGGTCGAGCAATGTGCCTGGCTATGACAACAGTACGAGTCTAGTGACGAATCTCAGGCAACTACCTGCTAACTGTGACAATCCGCAGTGGTTGCAGTATTCTAGTTCTATTGTTGGGCGTGAGTCATATCAACAACTGTGAGAAGCGCGGCTTTATAGTCCGAGGTTGGGAAATCAAAAAGAAGAGTGCGTCGCATTGGTTGAATTCTAATAAAAAAAAAAAACGATTGAGAAGAGATAAGATGGTAGATTCAAAAGTAACATTAATCATAAGCAATATTCGATTGATTGAGTGGTTGCTTCATTTCCCGAACAAATTTTTAAAATTATATTACAATGTTTTTAAATAATGTTTTTAGATACTTACTACTTAAAAAGTTGCATTACAGATTGTGAATGAGAAATATAATTACGAAGATATATTAAATGAGAGTAAAAAATATTAATTATATATACATAAGCATTCTATAAATTGATTCTAGGGAAGTTTTGGATGGTTGAATATTTCGCCTAGTTATATCGCTAGTGTCGTAAATGGCGCCAAAAATGAAAACAGAATCAAACTTGTGAATGTGAAATAGGTGGAAGTATCGTTGTTGCTGTTTAAGAAATGAAATTTTAAATCAGTAATAATAAAATCGTTATAATAATTTATTATAAAATACTGTAAATACATAAAAAAATGTCCGTTGTACCACTTTTTGTTCACATTTTATATTTGGCTACAGAGCAATCACTGTTAAAAAATGTGTGCATTCCTAAAGATAATAAAATAAAATGCCCAAAAACATGATACATAATAATTAATGTATTGGGTCATTTAAAAAGTATCCGCAGTTTTTTCATTCAAAAATTGAACAAAAAACCGCGGATACTTTTTAAATGACCTAATATATGACAAAAACACAACAAAAAATATAAACCCATATACAAATGAAGATAGAAAAATAATATCAATGATAAATGCAAAAAATAATATAAATTGTAAAATATAATTAGCTAAAATATAATTAATATAATTAACTGAACCATCAATGTCCCGAATCTTCATTAATGAGATCGCTGATGATGTGTCCCATGTCCACGTCATCCTTCAATACAAACGAATGTTGAAAACCACGCTGACATAATTGAGCATTCAGACCAGGATGTTTTGATATTATATCTTTATAATATTTCACCGGAGCCCAACCGTCATTGGCACCGTAATACAACCAGAGTTTATCAGCATGTTTTGATATAGTTTCATGATCAGCTTCTTTGACACATTTAATCTCTTCCTTGGCAAGATTGATTATCTTACTTAAGACTCTCGGATCCAGCATTTCTCGAACTGCTCTAACAGATCTACTTGAGATGCCAAAAAACCAACCGAAAGTACGTATCATAAATGTTTGTAGAGTTACTGGAAACATCATTGTAAAGATCCAAGACAGGAAAATCAAAATTGGTGCCGTATGTGATACCTGAGAAGATAAATATAATTACTTCTAGAAATATAATTACTAGAATAGGAAACAATTATGTGTTGTATGCAGCAATTATAACTCAGTAAACATCAACTAACAGTAACATATATAACATCAAACTCCAGGTTTGTTACAATTTCACATTCAACAATGTAACTAGTATGTAATACATGCATTATAATACATTTATTGTTGAGTGTGTAATTATAGTATCAAGACATGATATTAAAGATGTAATATCATAACATCAATGTGCTGGAGTATTATTGTTAAATGATGTTCTCTCTCTCTCTCTCTCTCTCTCTCTCTCTCTCTCTCTCTCCCCTCTCTGAGTAATATTTCATAGATAAATATAATGATAAACATGTAAAGACGTACAAAAATCTTAAAAAATATTCCATTAGGAGTGTCTGCCATGTGCTCTATCGTAGGGAACAACAGATAGCACTTCCGTATCCTTTTATCAATGTCATTGTCCTTCAGCAACTTGAGTACACACCAGGCACCTATAGAATGTCCAATAAGATGTAAATGCGCATTCTCCGGAATGTATCTTTTTATGAATTCAGCCTGCAACCATAAAATTATAGCTTTATTATAAGAGGTCAGGAGATCAATAGAAAATGCTTGAGGGCTAGAGTATCCACCTTGTGTTGAACTTGCGCTGTCAGACCATAGCACTCTGCCCACTTCTGATCGCTGGGCATAGCGATATCCAGGTTCTCTGGTGGTTGAACATGTCCAGCATGCCCGATAACCCACACAGGCGTGTCTGACGACGTTAATCTCGACTTGAGTGTTTTGATAAAGCCCTCGTAAAATCGCGGAACACCTGGGTTCCCAGTAATGACGAGGACTATATTCTTACTGGAATGTGGCAGCGGATCTTCCTCTATCCAACGGCCTTCTGATATCACCTCGGTCTGAACCTGATTACAATTAATTATAGCTCGACGCATATTTTATCTCGAGTAGCACAACACAACGTGTAATAATCGTGTTCGTATAATTTAATGAATTTTGCAATCGTTAATTTGTATGTATCACTCTAATATTGCTTATGTAATGCAAAACCGTCTGAGAAAAAGTCAGTTATGATTACGTCACAATTTACATAACGGTTCATAACTACACGTTGGTGATAACTGAACTAAAGTGGAACGAGAGAGTTATCGTCATGAGCCGAAATAGCTCAGTTGGGAGAGCGTTAGACTGAAGATCTAAATGTCCCCGGTTCAATCCCGGGTTTCGGCAAAACTTTTTTTTTTCTTAATTTTATGTAATTAATCAATTGACGAATTATAAAATAAAACTGATATTTTTATTCTTTAATTTTCTTTTTTTTTTTTAATTTATAAAGCTTTAACATATGCTGTGTCTATGTAATTGTTACAAGTGAATACGACCATGATTTTGTATGTTGCAATATATTTCGAGATCATGCATTTTATCAATAATTCGCTATAATTTGAGTATTTAATTTGTTGTTCGAATTTGAGAGGTATATTTTTTTAATGTTTAACATTCTTTTTAAATGCTTTCTTACATCGATAACTGTTTTCCAGGAAATTTTCGAATAAAGCAACAGAGGACTCTGCCAGTCACGCTTTTAAAATTGCACTGCGAGCCAATTTTTAAATTTCTTTTTACAAGTTACAATTCATATTAAATTAGAATACGAAAAAATATTGATTGATATATTAATATCATCGATTTAATGAAATATACTAGAAATATTTAAATATCTTAATTCGTGAAGAATTACATTTGCAGTCCGAGAAATATTAAAACACCGAGATATGAATATCTTGAAACACATAAGGATTTCAAAAATTTGAAATAGCATACATAAAAATGTTCAATGATCCAACACTCGAAATTCTTGACAAATAAATATATCTCAACATTTCAAAACCTTATTAATCCTTCCTTAGACATTACGTATACGAAAATATCGAATATAGATCTTGAACGTTATCAGAAGATCGAGACATCATCAGAAGATATCTAAAAACATAATCAAGAATGTTTCATGTTTGTCAGATATTCGCGCCATAAGCGTCACCGATCGCTCTCGATGAACTGGTATCGCGAACGGCGTCACGGGTCTTTCGTGCGATATCCGGTTCCACCGGAAAACGATGAGGAATAGAACGAGAGAATAGCCGGTGCCGTGACGCGGCTAGCCACCACGACCCACGACCGCGTCTCGAAGCCGTGCTTTCCATCGGAAAAGTATGGCGGCGGTAATTCGAACGCGCGTCATACAGTCCCGCGAGTGGAGGCGCACGCGTCATGGCGTTTGATCGCGCGCTCGCGGGGCGGGGCAATCGGTATGATTGTGTGTATGCGGACATAGATGCAAAAAGCGCACGGGTTAGCTTCGTTATCGGGGCGTGGAGCGCGAAACAGTGGGGGAGGGGGGGAAGTACGGGGGGAGGGGGAATCACCGACGGGCGGGCCGCCCCGTTCGCGGGAAGGCGCCATGCTGACGCGCACGCGACATCCTCGTAATCGGATGATCGTTCTTCCGCGTCGTTCTTTACGCGTGGTAGGTTCCAGAACTTTCCGGAGTCTTATTGCGACAATGGACGGTGTAGGCTTGACCGTTGCCAAATTGTTGTCTCGCTGGAAACAAGAATTGATGAATGAAAAAGATCGTAGAATCAGATCCATGTCAGGTCAGGTTAGATTAGATTAGGTTGGACTTACTGCCGCCCGGATATAAACTTGTGAAATGATTGCCGTCGATTGTTTCATTCTTATTAATATATTTGTGAATGATTCGAAGAAATGTTGAATGCTATGTTCCTTGTATCGTGCAAGATAATAAATTCTCGCGTGATAACAGTTAGTAAATAGAAAGCCGTGATGTAAAAATATATAATTGAAGTTTCGACAGTACGCTTGTGCGTTCTCTATAAAATTTTATATTATGGAACAAGGAGAGTCTCTTGTACAGGAATAACCTATATTGGTATATACAATAAACCTAAATATATTAAGTCATCAACAAATCATTAAACTTTTTCTTTAATTATGTAATATTTTAAAATATTAGATATTTTTTATAAGTTTGCAATTATTTCAATAATTTAATGGAGTATAATAGTATTCTCTGATTTAGATTTATTTACTAAATTATTAGCTTTGGCACTGTCGATATAGCACAAATATCCAAGAAACTGAAGAACATTCTGAGAATGTCCCAACGTTTCGAGAAACATTCGCAGGAACATCTCTGGGATAAAGTGTACTATATGGAGAATTGCTTAAGACAGAAATGCTGAAAATAGGCATGCAGTTTATTTTAAAGTACAAACAAAATTTAACTACAATTATTCTGGTGGATTAATTAAAAGGTAATACTTTGATTCCTAACACAAAATTGCAAAATCATAAAAATAATAACATTCTCTATCTGTTGTTCCCTCTCTATTGTTGCGTTACAATAACAGCAGTATCCTAATAAGAAATGGAGTATGAAATTTGTCAAGTTAGCGCATACGGCAATTTAATAAAGTATGTTTGCACAAGCTGTTATAAGTGCATCTACAGGATGTCCGTTAAGTTTTAACAAAGCGCTCGTGAGTAAATGGAACGAACTAATTGTAAGTCGAAAAGTACTTTACCATTTTGCAATTTTCGCAATAGTTAACAAGATACTAATTACT